GGCAGTGTAGGGGAGCTTTTATAAAAAAATGGCTTAAGGCTTGCTACCATGGCCAATTGGGGGGTGAAATGTGTTGCCTATGTGTAGGGCAGTGAGTTGAGATTTAGCATTGACTGGGTGTTACACACCATTGTGCATTAATAATATTGTGTTTTCATCATTATTATTAGTTTTATTTGATCAATTACATAAGGTCAGTAGTTTGACAAATAAATACATGATTTTTTTAAAATAGTATTTTTTGAAATGCTCTATAATTGTTTGGTTGAGTTTAAAATAAAAATGTGAATTCAATGTAAGCTGGACAATATAGTGGCGGATGTTGGTTAGTGGACAAGTGATTATGAAGTTGGCTAATAGACATGACAATGGCTGGTGAATGGCATCATTGGAAATGAACAGTGGATGGTTGTGATAGTACTCAGGTGGCAATCAGGACTGCTTGACGTCGTCATAGTGGATAACGATAGGTGGCAAAAGGCGCTAGTTGATGACCATTAGGGATTGACATTTGTGGTGGCGGCGGGCAGTGACATAGGTAGTAGCTTATGCATGTGATGCATTTGGGAGTGCCCAGATTAGCAGAGTAAACAAAATTAAATTAGAATTTAAAGTTTCAAATGCATGAAAAATTACACTACATATGTTTTTCATCAAATCAAATGCCAAATTCTTATAAACCTTACAAACGAAATGCATAACACTTACGAAGTAAATTAAACAATCCATTAATACGTGTCGGAAGGCACGCGGTGGTAGAGTCATAAATTTAGTGTCCTAGCATTGAACGAAAACCCATACCTCACTTAGGTACATAAAGAGAAGATTGTAGGCGGAGACACCATGACTTTTTATGTGAAAACCCTGGAAAGGAAAAAAATCATAGGGTCTAGCTAAGTTGAAATGATTCACTATAAAAATTGAGTACATGGCTCAACTTTTCTCCTAAATTAGATAAGATAGAGCTACGAAGATGATCATGGTAAATGTGCGATAGTACACCATTGTTATAGTTATTGTTGACTGTTATGAATGTAGTTATTAATGATAGTAGGTTGCAATGACTATGACCGATTGTTGTGGAGACAATAATTTGTCATGAATGTTATAGACGGTGGTTATAACCTCAGCTTGTTGTATAGGCTGTAGTTGAAAATCATGATAGTAGTGGACCAAGTGGGCTGTAAATGGTTTCTTCAAAAGCCTCGGTTGGCCATAGAGGCTATAGTAGGAAGTTGTCGGAGTTATGAGCCACGTAGGCCGTAGTTGGTCACATCGGTCGTAGTGGTGAGTTGTGATGATGTTTGTAGGTCACAGGGGCTAAAGTTGGAAGCTGCATGAGGCTGTGAGCCTCGTAGTTGGTCAATTAGATCGTAGTAATGAGTTGTGATGATGTCCGTATGCTGCGAAAATCGGAGTCGGGAGCTGTACAAATGGTGCACTGAGTAGGATGTAGTGGTAATCTGTAATGAAGTACATAGGCTGTTGGAGCAGGAGTCAGAAACTACACGAGTTGTGGATCACATAGGTCGTTGCAGACCACGTAGGTCGTAGTGGTGAGTAATGATAATATCCATAAGTTGTAGGGGTTGGACTGAGAAGCTACATGAACCGTGAACCACTTAAACTGATGACTGTAATGATGTGCAATGATAACTTCTTTAGGCTATAGGGGTTGGAGTCGAGATTTACACGAGTCATGTATCACGTAGGCCATAGCTAGTTACGTTACACGTATGTCATAGAGGTGAGCTGAGATGATGTTCATAAGTTGTAGGGGCTAGAGTCAAAAGCTGCATGAATTGTGGGCCACTAAGTTATAGTTGGTCACGTATGTCATTGTGGTGAGTTACGACATCATATTGTCGAATCAAGTGTCTTAGCAAGACACATCCAACGGACCCAAGATCGCTCAAATCCAACATCATCCGATCAAGGCGATCTCTTTGTGTCATTCGATCAAGAGTGATTTGGATTCTTTCCTTAATCCTCGACTCTATAAATAAATCCCTACCCCCACATGAAAAAGGGAATTAGACCGCGAGCAAGAGGAATACCAGAGCCTACATAAGAGGGAGCTGTAGCGCAGCATCCTGCACCGCATATCCAACAAACTCCAGTCGTCGCTGCCTTCGGTCTTCGTAGCCTTTGGTTGTTTTCACTGCTTCCGGTCCCCACATCCCATCGCCAGCATCCTGCACTTGCAACCACCAACCACCGTCAACCATCGTCGGTCTCTCGCTGTTGTAGCTACAGCTCCAGACTCTAGCCCTTTGCAGACTATGAACATCGTCATTGCTCGATACTAAGATCTCCATTACCAACTAAAGCATATGTGATCCTCATCTCTTTCGACTCCCGACTCCTATCATCCCCTAAAAGTGATTTTATGACTTGATCATAGCTTGATCTGACTCAAATTGGACTAATTTTGGTACATTTTGGTCTATCTCATCGTAGCGGTCATTTTGACTATATGTTTGTGGAAATCGGTGTTCTTGAAGACTTTTAATCAAAATTTGAATATTTCTTGCTTAAATGTGTGCATCGAGATCAATGACATGCCTCAAAATTCATGTTGGATGATGGAGATTTGTTGATGACATATCAATTGCCCCTTATTTTCGAGCTAGACGTATCTCATTCCCCAAAAATATCCAAATCCAGAGCACTTTTTACCTTCAAAATATTATTGATATGATGTCATACCAAAGATGTAAGTGTTATAAATGTAAATATACAATTCTGGATGCTAGAAATGTAAATAGCAATAATTTCGTTGTATGTATGTAAATATTTCAACCCTTTTCCTATATATATATATTATATGGAATGAAATATGCTGATTTGGAAAGCAATTAAAATATATTTAACTTATGATAATTATGAAAAAAAATATATGAGAGATTTTTTTTCCTCTTTAGTCTTATTTTAATAAAGAAAAATTATATTTATTTTAAGAATTTAGATTTTCCTCAATATATTATTTTTCATTTTTCACTCACTCTCTAATCCATAAACAGGCTAAGAGATAAGGAAGAAGGATCCGGATCGACATTAAAAGTGAATTAAGTTTAATTCATAATTAAAATTCCTAATTTAATGCCACCCTTCGAACGTTAATTAATCAGATGAGGCATCACCATCCAAGCAACCACCCAACATGCCAAACCGCCCGATCCTCTCTTAATCAAAACACACGGACGGCTGAGATTAAAAAGAAAAAAAAATCTATAATTTTCAAAGTAAAAAACTTGTTTCTTCCCCCCGAAATTAAATAGCCAGTTGATCAACTCCAAAACAAATCTCTCGAATCAATGCTCCTTAAAAAACTTAAAAAAATAAAAAAATATAAAAAAAATAAAAAAATCAAAGAGTACAACCACTAATTAATATATTAATTTTTATTGCAGAAAAATCAAGTAATAAATGAGAGCTAAGTAGTAACTTATGATTGATTAAGCCAAAAGGGGTACCTTAATTAGTAAGCCAAATGATTGTATTTGAGGGGGCTAAAGCAGTGGATGAGAGGGCATGTTTCCTTGTGAAGAAGGTAACTGCTCCTCTTCCAAGTGCATGCAGTTGGTTTAATGCAACCACCCGGCCTCCATAACCATTTAAATTTAGTCAGTAATGTTAATGCCATAATTTAACTATTGGATTATTATATATCACATTTGAAAGCTCAATTAGTTTGGCAGTTGGGGATGAAGGTGACTAGTGGCATGGGCTAGCATAAATATGCCACATTAATTGATCTTCAAATGATGTAGTTATCCATCAACTTAAAAAGCCTAGCTAGGTTTATACTATTTTTAAATTATTATTAGAATCCTATTTGATGATAACACTTTAAATACTATGAATAAGTATCAATTATATGCCATAACTATTTTATATTCAACTTAATGAATGTGTTTAAACCTTGAAAGTAAAAGAATATTAGAGGGTAGCTATTTTGGTTAGATAACATTTTAATTAAACATGAGACTAATTAAAATCATTATTAGAAATTTGAAAGCTATGATTCTTCTTTTTATAGAGTGTGATTAAACATCATGTTCTATTCATCTTTTTAAGAAGATTATAACTATTGATAGACTCCTTAGCCAAAATTGTGATCATTTAATCTTATTGGATAATGTGCCCAAACAATTTAATCATAATTTGTAAGAAATTTGAAACAATGTATGACAATATTTGCCCAAATATCTATAAATGAACTCAAAACATTAATGGTATATGTAATTTTCTCTATAACAATTTTGAATTAAAATAACACCATTTAGGAGAAAAACATGATTTAATGTAAATTTGAGTCAACTTTTAGTATATTTCTTTTTTTCTTAACTCTCATTTTTAGCACTATATTTCTATATTATGATCACATCTTTTGAAGAGGAGCTACTATTGATGACATTTGTAAAAGTTATAATCATATGTGTGTGTGTGTGTGTGTGTGTGTGTG